TTTATTCATTACTGGTGTTTCCATTGCTCAAAAATACAGTAATTCTTTCTGTGAATAGGGGCAACTCTCCACAAATCTGAGTTGTAGTGCAGTCCTGTCTCCTGCCCGTCTCCCTTGTGATTGATATTTTTAATCTATACAGTGGAACATTCTAGACAAAGCAGTAACATTTCCAAGGGGACATCAGGTTGCAGACCCTTCAAAAGTAAAGTTACACAATGCACTTTTAAATAAAATAAATACATTCTGAGACCAAAATAATGATCTGTATCGCTCTATTTATGTAATATAAATCATGTCAAAATCACATCGTCTTGTTCTCGTGGACCCAATCTCGTCTCTCATCTTCTCGTCTTGTGGGAATTGTGTCTCATCCCAACACTAGCTTACACCCTTTTTGGGTGGCAGTAGTTCAGTTGGTAGAGCATTCGCCCACTGATCTTAAGGTTGGCGGTTCGAATCCAGCTATCGACATCACAGGTTGAGCGGTCAGATCCACTGACCCACAGGTTGGCTGGTGTGATTCCAGCTCCCACAGATGAATGCTGTCATTGTGTCCTTGGGCAAGACACTTAACCCCCCTTGTGTACACTGGTGTGTGAATGGGTGAGTGTTGTAAAGCGCTTTGAGTGCCTTGAAGGTGGAAAAGCGCTATAGAAAAAATTTGACCATTTGGAGTGATGTGTGCATTAAGAAAGTCTTGATGATGTCAAATCAACAACTTTTTAATTGATTTAATAACTTTAAATATATATATACACACACACATATATATATATATATATATATACACACACACACACACACACACACACACACACACACACAACATATATATATATATATATATATATATATATATATATATATACACATACACATACACATACACATACCGCTTTAGCCTGTGTGGAAAATACATGAATGATGGATGAGAATGTGAACTTGTACTAAACCATCAACCAAGCACTTTCCCTGAATCATAAAACCTTGCAGCAGTTAGACTAATGTGGCTGCCTAAAGAGTCCTGTGGGAGGCAGCAGAGAGCCAGCCTCTGTAATTGACCTGTTCAAACCTTGTTGCTGAGAAATGTTCCTACAATTTAGAGTGAATTCAGGTACCTTACTGCAGTGAATTACAATGATTACATACATATTTCCAGTACTTTGCAGTAATAGAAGGGAAAGAGAAGATGGAAGAAAGGGCCTGTTAAGAATACAAAGATATCAAAATATTAAAAGGACAGGTACACATCGGTCTTAAGAGATTAAAGGTGCACTGTGCAACTTTTCTGGTGAAGGGTCTGCCACCTGCTTGTCTCCATGGAGATGCTTGGAATGTTCCATGGTATGACTTAAAACATTTCCATCCAGCATTTATTCATTATGGGTTTTGCTATTGCTCAAATATACAGTAATTCCTTCTATGAATATTCACGACTCTCCACAGATCTGTACTGTAATGTAGCATAGTGCTGTAACCTGCTTGTAGACCCTCCCTCGTAATAGGTATAATCTATACTGTGGAACATTCTAGACATTTCCATTGAGACATCAGGTGGCAGACCCTCCACTAGAAAAGTTGCACAGTGCACCTTTAATCTCTTAAGACCTTTGACACAGACTAGATAACTAGTCATAAAAATCTATATAAACTAGTACAAAATGCAGTCAAAAATGAAATTCTAACGTGCTGTTACCTCATGGAATGGAAGTTCTTTATTTTAACATGGACACATAGAATCTGAGTGCTTCAACACACACACATTCGAGCAGTGCAAATCCTTTTTTACTGTTTTATTCACAATTGGACAATCTAAGAACTTAGAATTAATTATTCACTTCACAGATTTATAAAAAGAGTTCACACTTTATTGAGATTAATTAAAGCCCCTGTCACACACTCAGAGGCAAGAGTGGATACAGAAAAATAGAAAAAATACAGCTGCATTCAACAGAATATCCTTAATTCACAAAATATAACCATCTCTCCAGATCAGCATATTGTCAAAAAGTAAAACAAATGATAGATATTATAGGTGATCTACTAAAAGACAAACTTAAACTTCCACTATTTTGATTCTAATGTTTATTTGAGTTAGTCTATTTTAGTAGGTATAATTGTTTTTGTTTTAAGTTAGAAAATGTGTTTACAATTATACTAACATTAAAACTAAAAAGGCCAGTTTCTTTCTCACACTTGAAACACTGCAGTGCCTCTGAAATCAAACATACCTGAAGTTGGGTTTTGTTTTATTCACACATGTTTGAGTAATCTTTTATTATTAGTCTGTCTACATCTTCAAAGCTCAAAATGCTCCGTTCCAACTTGTGATGTCATGAAATGGTAGTTTTCAAGTTAGCATCTACCTTTTACATTTAGTTTAGTTGAGATTGTTGTTGTTTGAGTGTTTTCTATTTGAGAGAAGAACTCAGCCTAAATATGCAGGGTTTTGTGTTGAACATGTGTGAATGAAACAAACCATGGCTTTGGTTATGTCTTTTTGATGAGGGTACAAAAAATAGCATAATATGGGCTCTTTAACTCTGATTTGGATTTGTGTGTTTTATGTTGTAATATTAATGAGGCCGTTGAATGCAGTAATGAATAGATGAGAGGGAATATTTATGCAATACTTGAACATCAGACTGACCCTACTGCTGCTGCTGCTGCTGCCTCTGCCCCTGTCACAGCTGTGCTATCATGTGAACTTACAACATTTTTCATGTTTTCTTATCACAAAAACACAAACAAGATCAATCACTGCCCTTGACCTCCTATAGAGATTTTCCAGTTTTGCAAATGGCATTTGGAAGAAAGAAATGGCATGGCTTCTGGTGAAAGATTAGACTGGATTTTTGTTGTTGTGCCTTTTTGTAGGCTGCAGGGTTTTTTTCAGTTTTATACTCTGGTCTGAAGCTAAATTAATGTTGTGTGCAGCCAGTGTAAAGAGTTGGGATTAACATTTCATTTCTAAGGCAGCACTTAAATGCCATTTACTTATAGACTCTGCTTTTTGTGTCTTCTTCAAAACAGCTTCCTGCTTAAATCCTGCAAAACCAAGAAGTATTTTTATGAATTCAGATGAGAGGAGAGAAACAGACTCTGCCTCTTTGATCACCTCCATCTCTGTTCAACTTCAGCTCAGCGGGAAGGTTGCCGTAGAGACTTACGTGGTTATAAATACAAGAGCAGGAGCCTGAGGAGCCGCCTGTTTTACATAGAGGGCCATTGAGAACAGTGTAGCGCAACTCTGGTGTAAACAACTAGATAGAATTGTTTTTCAATGAATTTTAATAAAGGTTACATACGTGACTGTCGACCAATGACAGGTGCATGTGCTGAATATATGAAATAAACAATCCTTTTTTCTTATGGATATGACCTGGTTTTGAAAAAATCTGGTTTGCCCTGTGTGGGCCCTATGAAAAAGAATCTGATCCAAGATAGTCTAAATCAAATGCCAAGCAAACCCTGGCCCAAAGTTACCAAAAACCATTGATTTAAAATTAGGTAAAAATAGACTCTGATTTACAAATACAAAATATTACTGTATGGGAAGAAAAACATGCAAACATTATCATCGCAAGAGAAATAAGATAAGGTTTATTTAAAATTACTATATTATATTTATAATTTACAGTGGCTGAGTGGCTAGCACTCATGCTTCACAGCAAGAGGGTTGTGGGGTAAATCCCCTTGTGCAGAGTTTGCATGTTGTTTGCTGTTTGAATGGTTTCCCCATCAACCCAAATGCAGAGAATGAATTTCCTTCACGAGGGCTCAATAAAGTATACCTTTCCTTTACCTTATATATTGAAGTAATGATGTATCAATTAATTATGCAGGCACAAGTCATCAATGAAGACTGTATGTGGTTTAAGTGCGCTTGTGATTGCACCAAACGTAAAAGTACTTGACTAAGTAGCTTGTGGTGATTGGGCCTAATGATAAACTGTTCCTAAACACATCCGATTTCACATTTGTGTCTGTTTACCATGGTAACACAAAAAACAACAGATTAAACAGACAATCTTCCTTATGGCTCATTCACTTCCAGGTTCAATCAACAGTTCCCTGCTGCTCTGTTTACAATTTTCACAATCAGAGTACAAAAAAATAATGCAACACTTACTTCCTTACCCTCTTAGATAAAGACTGATCAATGCACCACCCCCTGAAGTGGCTCAGAACTTTTGAAATAACACAGCAGGAAACAATCTATAGTGACAAACAACAATTTGGAAAAAGTGGTCACAACAAAAAAGCTTGAAAATAAGTGTTGTCTTCTGTGACAAAGAGGTAGAGAGAGAGAAAGAAAGAAAGAGTGTAAAGTCCTTAACATGAGCTGAAGAGGGCAGTGGTGTTAGATGGAGAGGCTTATCGCACAGAAAACGGCTGATGGGGCAGAAGGGCAGAGCCAGTGAAGCAGCATTAAGAGCCACAATAAGAGCTCTGCGCCGTAAAGATCCCATTAAATCAATGAGAAGGTGATGAGGAGGGCCCGAACATAAACAGACCAGATCTAACTATAGGCATACAATTTACAACAGTGAAGATTCCCTCCAAGGTAATGTTATGTACGCCCACAAAACAAAAGAGAGAATGTACTAAATTTTAACAGGTTTCTAGTGGTTGCGGCTGTTGTACATTATAGGGGTGTCAAAAAAATAATAAAGGTACTAAGCCTAAAACTATCAGTATTAGATATATATTATTTATAAACATGATCTCACTTTAGACAGAATAGTTTTAGAATAGTCAACGTGTGCATTGTGATAACTGCTGACCATTCGGCCATTGATATACATGTTGAATTCCTCACCCCCCATTCATGCATGTTTGAGTCTTTAATCACTTATTTTCAAGATGCCATATTGCTCATCAATACCCATTTTCACCAACACTGGCATACACCCACTGCTTTGAACTTACTTCCCCAGTTTTCAACTCCTGTACCTGGTTAAAAATTTAAGACCACCCTCCATGTTTATGTGCAGGTACCTGTCTGATCCTGGGCTGCATGATCTACCCTGATGGCTGGGATAGTGACGAGGTGAAGCGCATGTGTGGCGAGCAGACGGACAAGTACACTCTGGGGGCGTGCTCCGTACGCTGGGCGTACATCCTGGCCATCATGGGTATCATGGACGCCCTCATCCTCTCCTTTCTCGCCTTTGTGCTGGGGAACCGCCAGGACAGCCTCATGTCCGAGGAGCTGCTGGGAGACAGTAAGAGAGCATACTCACTGTCTGAGTGAAATGTATAACTGTGAAATACTGTGTCTCAGAGTTTCCCCAACAAACAGATTCTGTATGTAGGTTGCATTCACAAGGCCAGGGGCAATGTTTTTAAAGTAAAGTACAAACAGAAAATCCATAAAAGTTAAACTTGATCATTATTTGAAACTTCCTTTCAACTGCACAAAGCACATCTTTGTTTTTGAATACTGACACCACTTTATTAAGCTATTGTGACAAAATGATTTCACTTTAGTTTATTTATTTTGACAGACAAGATGCTAAACTTGGATAAACCCAGTAATTTCAGAGAGTTGATCATAAATCAAGCCAATTTTAAACTAGAAGTAGGATGAGATGTCATGTGAACTCAGCCTATTGCTTTTCTTGCAGCCATACTTCAAACACAAATATATTCAGTTATTCATCTCAACGAGTGAACACTACATCTCCACAGAGGGTTTAAATCAGGGATTCATGACCTTTATAACCCTGAGGTCCAACTCTTTCTGTACAAAGTAACGTGGGGCTCATTCACTCCTTTCATAGTTATCCATCTGGTATTCGAGTAAGTCTCTGATAATACAACTGTTTAAGTGCTAGCTCCAATTTCTAACTAACAATAGAAAGAAAGATCGAAAAGACACCATTTTACAATCTCATATTCGATGCTACTTACACTACTCACAATAAGTTAGGGATATTGTTATTTACATGAGTGCTTTTCCTATTTGGTCTGAATTTTAATGAAATAAGTAAAAGTTCCCTTTGAGAATGAATGAGAAGAAACACAATTTTCATTAGTTTAATATTTATTACCCCCAAAATTTAGACAATAACAAGGATAGCCCCAAGTAACAAAAATTAACAATGTCAGTAGCGGGTGTTTCCACCTTTTGCTGCAATGTCAGCTTGACAGCGACGTCTCATGCTCCTCACTAGCCTCATGATGTTGTTCTGAGGCAATGTGTTCCACTCTTCCACCAGTGCTACATGCAGTTCTACCAGGTCACGTGGGGGTGGGCTACGATCATCCAGTCTCTGCTTCAGCTGGTCCCAGACGTGCTCTATGGGGTTCAGGTCAGGGGACAGTGCTAGCCATACCTTATGAGGCATGATGATGACCTTATGATGATGGGTTCAATGAAGTCTCTGAGGTAAGAACATGCAGTGATTGAGCCATCTACATAACCAAATCTGTTTTGTGCTGACTGGTGATGCCTGCCCAGACTGGGACTGGGACTGTTGCACCTCCTCCACCAAAGTGAACCGTGAGGACCATGTTGTCCTCGGCGTATCGCTCACCTCGCCTTCTCCAGCAACGCTGACGATCATCATTTCTGTGCTAAGTGACCCGACACTCATCAGTGAACAGGACAGTGGACACTGCTGCATTGTCCAGGTCTCATGGTCTTGTGCCCACTGCAGACATTCACGGCTGTCTTGGTGTCAGTGGAGTCACCTGCAACGGTCGTCTGGCATTCAAACCAAAGCGGTGGAGTCAGTTTCAAATGGTTTGTCTGGAAACCCTAGTACCCCTCACATCTCGAAAACGAGCCTGCAGCTGTGTGGCAGTTGCATAACGATGTCTGAGTGCATAGGTCCTTAGTTACTGGTCATCGTTGTGGTCTGTCACTCATGAGGCTCCACTCCTGGGTCTGTCACGAACTCTGCCAGTAGTTCTGTGTCTTGATGCAAATCTGCTGATGATACTTTGAGACACATCAAGTTCACGAGCAACATCTGACTGCCTGCCACTGACCCTGAAGGCGCGGTATGGCTAGGTGGCGCTACTCGTCTGTTAAGTGACGTCGTGTGTTCATGGCCGTTTGAATTGTGAACTTGGAATGACTTGACAATACCAGCTTTTTAAACCCACAGAATGTTGAAATTGATGCCACATTAAAAAGGGTTTTGGCTCCAATATGTAAGGCACACTGTACACAGTGAGACCATTACATGGAAAACACAAAATGAGGTTTGTCTGTCACAACAATACAATTACCTCCGTATCCCAAAAGTTTCTGAAGTGACACAAACACCGTATATATGATATTCACTGGCTCTCTCTCAATATCCCTAACTTATTGTGAGTAGTGTATTATCATTTATCATCTATCAGTGGAGAAGTTACATCTACTTGATGATTTTATAAATGAAATAACTATGAAGAGAAAAGGTTTAAAAGAACTACACAAAAGTAATGACTACTGTCTCTACAGAACTGTGTGTGATTAGTGGATTTTCCATTTGAGCTCTTCATTTTAATCAGGGAAGGAAGATCAAAAGACATCAGCAGGCCTATACCCAACCATTACAACAGAAAATTAAAAACAGAAAATTTTTGCTTCAAGACATCTTTGCATAATTCCCATTTTATTCTCTAAATTTGATAGTCACATGTACAAGTTAATTTGCATGCATTGCATAGGCTAGAGTTCACCCTGCACCTGCTTGTCTCCACTCATTGTCTGGGTTAGTTTTATGATTTGAAAAGATGACAAACTGCCTTTATAATTTGATAGAAAGTGCAGAAAAAGGGGAGAGATAGGAAGATATCACACGTAAACTGATGAAAACCAATGAGTTGCAATGAAAAGAGAGACAGGTGACACATAATAAAGCACCAATATTAAGGGTTAATTGATGCTCACCATTGCTGGTGTACGTGGACAGAGACATGAATTACTAATGGATGTTTACACAGCTTTCTGCCAACCTGTCGAAATGAATCACAGTATCTGGCAGGACACAGTGGCGTCTATAGCGGCAGCTGCACAGGGAGTGCGAGCAATGAGAAGCTATTATGAGTTTAGACATGACAAGCATTGAAAGCTTAAAGGTCCTATATTGTGCAAAGTTAACGCGTATGAGCTTTTAGTCATGTTTTAATGTTGCTACCCCATCAAAACCTACCTGGAGTTGTGTGTTGTTTCATTCACACATATTTGAATAATTTATTATGAGTCTGTCTACATCTCCAAAGCTCAAAATGCTCTGTCCACCTTAAGATGTCATGAAACGCCTCATGCCTCAGTAGAGATTGGATAATTTCAGCCCTGGAATTGCCAAACGATTTCAGTAAAGGTGTATGGAGTTTAAAAACACAGTGGGGCACTTCCTTTATTACTAGCCTCCATGACATCACAAGGTGGAACAAAGTGGTTTCCGTTTCAGGGAAACTACTCAGTTCCATTCACCCATACACAAGGTTTATGTGGAAACAACGTTATAACATAGATCAGAAAATAGCGTATTACGGGCCCTTTAAGGATAATAAGCCGGTGACTAAGGTAACTATCAGTAAGAGTTGCACACACGTAGTTCAAATAAAGATAAAATTAAAGAGGGATAGTGAAATCTGTCCACCAACTTGAAGCAATGTGTTATTAAACCTGAGCAACCAAACAGCGCTGAGCATAGGGTGCCATCTGCTGGTAAGAAAATATACTGCAGGGTCATATAGCTAAACTTGTTCTTTTTTTCCACAGAAGCTGGGACTAATGCCATATAAATTCTGAAGGCACTGGAAACCAACTGGTACAATCACATTTTCACTTGTAGCCTACCACCTAAGTCATACCTTTGGCTTTTTCATCCTACTTAATTATGATTTCAGGCAAATTATGGACAGATGATAAATTACATAACATTACATTTCATAAATCACTTAGAATATAATTAAATAAATATGTATAATTATTATCTTTTACTATAATCATTTGGTTTTACTATGTTAGTATTGTAAATGCACCATCTTGAGACTGTACATGTAAATTTGTAAAATGCAGTTTTTGTAGTATTACGATTGTTGACTGGAAACTGATTGGAAGAAGAATCCATTTGAAGCTCTTAAGCATCACATCCACTGAATATTTATCTTTTATCAGGTTTATTTTAAGATCACGAGTTGTTAAGTGGTAACATCTCGACAGCCTGGAGCATATTTTTGATTAATTATTTGTGAGAAATATGCTACATCTTTTATGAACATTGTGAGTCTTTACCTTTCAGGACTTGCTTCAAAGAGGGATGCTACTTGATGCCGTCTCTTCCAGTAAAGCTTAAGGCACCGCCAAGACAAGATTACCGAAGAGAGGAGACTTTTAAATGACCGGAATTACCTTTTGTAAAATAGGCTCCTTTCCGTTTAACAGAATGGACACTGATTTTGGGTTATCAAAACAGACTTGCCAATGTCAGTCCGCTATCATGTTTAAAGTGGAGTTTAAAGAAGGAGAGGAAATTGTTCTGTTGCTCCAGGACACTTGTTGAATGGGAAACTACACAAGAGCAACAACTGTTCAAACTGAATCAAATCAAAAGAGACACAAATAAATAAGGACATTACCATGACTTGGGGTTATAGCTGTCAGCTCTTCTCTTGTCTTCAATCAGCAGGACGTGAAAACTTAAATCACTTTTGGATCTGACCTTTCGTTCACAAACAAGACCAGCTTTGGGGTGTTGGGCCTGATGACAATAGCGCAAGTCCTCATTTAGTAAATACATGTTTGATGTGATAGAGATGAAAGAACTGAAAGAAAAACAGAATATTTTAATGCACTTAATGGAAAAAAAAAGTATTTAGTCTGTAGACCATATAGTGTTGTATTTATTTTGTTTTTTTTGCACTGTCTTGAATTGAAATGTACACTTTGAAAATGTCAAGCTAATTGTTCATAAGTGTAGTGTGCCATACAGTATTTTGTATAGTCTGTGTTGGGCAGCACATAAAACAAGCTATAACATAGGAAAGATTAACATTATTACCATATCCCCATCTAATTCTTTACATTAACAAAATCATGAAAAGCATTAATCATATTCAACATTTTAGGCTTTAGTGTCACATCTCTCTATGTGAATGTGCCTCCATCCTTTTATATGCCCTGTTACTTTCCGGAAGTGGGGAAAAAAAGATAAAGTAAAAATATATTGATAGGGCTTTTTGTACATACCTCAGATGTATTTCTACTCCTAATAACCATGCAGTGACCAAATGTCTCACTTTTTTCTT